CTCTATCCCCCTAACTCTGACCTTCACTCCCTCCCCTCCAGCACCTTCCAGAAAAGCTCTAGGTGGCTGGTCCCCCTCTGACCACCTTCTCCCACTTTCCCCTGCCCCTCACTCAGCTCCGGCCACACCAGGCTCCCTGAGGTCCTTATGCTCATCAAAGCCTCTCCTGCCCCAGGGCCTTGAATTCACTTGTACCTTCTACCAAAAACATCGTCCTCCCACACACCCACAGGCTCCTCCTCTGTCACCTCCTTCAGGCCAGAAAGCGCCACCACCACCACCTCCCAAACTAAAACAGCAACCCCCGCTCCTCTCTACCCACTTGCCCTATTTTATTTGATTTTATTTATTTTGAGACACGATCTCGCTCTGTTGCCCAGGCTGGAATGCAGTGGTGCAATCTCAGTTCACTACAATCTCTGCCTCTTGGGCTCAAGCGATTCTCCCACCTCAGACTCCCAAGTAGCTGGAATTACTGGTGCACACCACCACGCCTGGCTAATTATTATGTTTTTTGTAGAGATAGGATATCACCATGGTGCCCAGGTTGGTCTCAAACTCCTGGCCTCAAGCGATCCACCCACCTTGGCCTCCCAAAGTGCTGGGATTACACGCGTGAGCCACTGCACCTGACCTATTTTACTTTTTATAGCTTTTATCTCTGCCTGGCATTAAATGCCATATCAGGGTTTTTTTTTAAATTATTATTGCCCATCTCCCTCCAATAGGATTTAGCCCAATAAAGGAAAGGATATGCCTTTGCAAACAGCCTGGTACATAGTCCATGCTTGATAAATATTTGTTAAATGATTGAATGGCTTGGAAAAACCCAAATGAATGAGGTGAGGAGGGTGGGGACAGGTATCCAGGCACAGGGAACAGCCTATGGAAAGGTCCGGGGCTTCTCCAATCCACCTGCCTCCTCTCCTGCATGGAAGCCTGGGTGCTCTTTTTTTTTTTTTTTTTTTTTTTTTGAGACGAAGTCTCACTCTGTCACCCAGGCTGGAGTGCAGTGGTGCGATCTCGGCTCACAGCAACCTCTGACTCCCGGGCTTAAGTGATTCTCCTGCCTCAGCCTCCTGAGTATCTGGGATTACAGGTGCCAGCCACCATGCCTGGCTAATTTTTTTTTTTTTTTTTTTTTTTTTTTTTTTTTTTTTTTTTTTTTTTTTTTTTTTTTTTTTTTTTTTTTTTTTTTTTTTTTTTTTTTTTGTAGAGATGGGGCTTCTCCATGTTGGTCAGGCTGCTCTCGAACTCCTGACCTCAGGTGATCCACCCGCCTCAGCCTCTCAAAGTGCTGGGATTACAGGTGTGAGCCACCGCACCTGGCCGCCGGGGTGCTCTTTCTAGGATCAGGAATTAAGGGGACATTTGGTCCTTTCTCCCCAAGAACAACCTCTCCAGGCCCAGACAGAGTCAATTTCAGGCCTTGCCAGGCTGGCACAGGAAGCCACACCCTGAGGTCAGATCCCTGAGCAAATATTATGGCCCCCGACGCCCCGCCCAAGATAAGGGGAGGCTGAAAGGGGTTCGGAAACCTGCTTCAGCCTAAGAGATTAGCTCCAGCCAAATCCTCCGACTCGAGGCCTCCCCATCCCTGCCTAGGGAGGATGGGACACGGATTGTGCCATGGAGGCCCAAGTCCACCGTTTTCATCTAATACATATTGATGATGTCAGTGGTGGGCAGGGTCTTGAAGAGGAGATAAAGGAGTTCCCAGCCTCCCTCCCACTCCCAAGGGAACTAAGTGACTGGTGAGATAGGAGGGCTGGGCGGGCAAGGGGCAACCCTGACCAAACAAGGTCATAGACCGTGTCCCCAGATGGCTGTGCAGAGAAGTTAAGACTCACCTGCTCCAACCTCATGAGGCAATGGCCTGGGTCCTCAGTTTACTTGTCTGCAAAATGGGTTTTCTTGGGGGTGGGCAGCGGGGAGCTGGATGAGATAACAGGAAAAGCTGAAGCTGTCAAAAAGAATAATGGACCAGGCACAGTGGCTCACACCTGTAATCCCAGCACTTTGAGAGGCCAAGGCAGGTGGATTACTTGAGGGCAGGAGTTTGAGACCAGCCTGGCCAACATGGAGAACCCCATCTCTACTAAAATTACTAAAATTAGCCTGGCATTGTGGCACATGTTTGTAATCCCAGCTACTCAGGAGGCTGAGGTGGGAGAATCGCTTGAACCCAGGAGGTGGAGGTTGCAGTGAGCCGAGATCGCGCCACTGCACTCCAGCCTGGATGACAGATCAAGACTCCATTCCAAAAAAAAAAGAAGAATGATATCAGCAGAATACATCTACAAGCTGACCACTTCTCCCATCCCTGGTTCAGCCACCACTACTTCCTGCCTGGTCCAGCACTGCCCAATAGGAACAAGACTGGAGTCACGCACACAGTTCGACCTTTCCCAGCCTCATCTCATGAAGAAAGGCAAAATGAATGTATTTAACACAACATATGCAAAATGTCATTTCAGCACAGAATCAATGTAAAAAAACTGATTATCTGTTTTACGTTACTGTGGGTGTGTGCTTTTTTTTCCTTAATGAGACAAGGTCTTGCTCTGTCACCCAGGCTGGAGTGCAGTGGGGAGATCACAGTTCACTGCAGCCTCAATCTCCTGGGCTCAAGCAATCCTCCTACCTCAGCCTGCCAAATAGCTGGGACTACAGGCGTGCAACACCACTCCTGGCTAATTTTTAAATGTTTTGTAGATAGGTGTTGCTACGTTGCCCAGGCTGGTCTTGAACTCCTGGGCTCAAGTCATCCTCCCGCCTCAGCCTCTCAAAGTGCTGGGATTACAGGTGTGAGCCACTGTGCCCGGCCCCTCTTATTGAACCTCTACTCCAATGTCACTCTGACAATGTCACCTTGCTGCCTTGCATAAACCAGTGCCCCGACCACCTCCCTCCTTTCCCCTGCTTTATTTTTCTCCATAGCATTGTCCCCACCTGTTCTAATACTGCTCATGTTTGTATTCGTCTATTAACTGTCTCCCCAATCAACAGGTCAGCTCTATGTCTATTTTATTCATGGTTGTAACCCCACAGCGCCTAGCGCAGTGCCCGGCACATAGTAGGTGCTCCATAAACGTTTGCCAAATGGTGGAGGAACAACGGCCGCAGTGCCCCCAGTACGTGCTCTGAGGCAGGCCCAGCACCAAGCGCCCCATGTGCCTATTTTAATCCTCAGAAGAGTCCCAGGGAAGTCGGTGTCATGACCACCCCCCACCCACTGCACAAGCAGGCAAAAGCCCCTGCCCATGAGAACCTGTCTGCTTTCTGCCCAGCGGGGCGGCGCACAGCAGGTGCTAAAGAGCCTGCAGCTCTTGCTTGAACCAAGGATCTGGGCTCACAGCCGGAAGCACCAGAGGAGGGGCCAGGGGATGGAGGATGGGGGCGGACTGGGAAGGGTGGGTGTGACGCTGCAGTGCCTCTAGAGCCCAGCCTGGTCACACTCTGCAGGCAGACAGCAGATCACAAGGAACCTGAGCCTCTCTGAAGACTTCTCTCTCTGTGTCATCCACACCTGGTGTCCAGTTCCACAAACATGCTCAGAGCCCCTGCGCTTGCCAGGCGATTTGCTGGGCAGTGCTGAGGACACGGTGGTGACAGCTCAGCCCTGCCCAGCTGAGGCTCCTAGGCCAGTGGGGGGAAAAGACCCAGCCTCAGACAGCGAGAACCCAAGGCAGTCAGGGCTGGGACAGGGAATTCCAGGCCTTGGAGTCCAGGAGGGCTTCCTGGAGGAGGGGGTTTGGGGAAGGCAGTGGAATACAGCAGAGGGAAGCAGGGATATTCTGGGTAGAGTGCAAGTGAGACAGAAGAACTGAAGCAGAGGGTTCCCAGAAGCAAGAGGTGTTCCATGTAGCTGGTCAGGTGGGCAGGAGTCAGGCCGGGCAGGACCTCCTGGGCCACAGCGAGGAACCTGGGCTTCCTCCCAAGGGCACTGGGGAGCCACAGCAGGTTCTGAGCAGGGAGGGGCAGAGGCAGGTTTTTGTTTTAGAAAGAGCCTCGTCTGCCATGTGGAGGGGCAATGGGAAAGGGGGAGACCAGGGCCAGAGACTAGGGAGGAGGCTGGTGGGGAGACAGGAGGACCCACGCAAGGTGGGCTGGTGGGGTGGTCACCTAGACCAGGGCAGGGGCTTCAGGGATGGAGAGAAGATATACTTAGAGTCAGCTGCCAGAAGGGGTGGCATGTTCGGGGAGTAGGGGGAGGCATCAGGGAGGAGGCCCCAGGTCTCTTTTCCCATTGATGAGGTGGGTAGTGGCGCCTTCCCTGATAAGGAAACCAGGAGAAGAAACACTTCTGGGAGAAGACTCCCAGGTCAATTTGGGACAAGGTGAGTGAGAGGTGCCCAGGGACATCGGGGAGGCATCCTGATTGATACTGGGATGAGGTCCCAGGGCTCTGGGCCAGGATGGAGAAGGGTGAGGTGAGGTCACAGGTGGGGAGGGGGGAGCAGGAGGTGCCAGGACGCTCTCTGTGCCTCTCACCTGCACTCACCCATGACTCCTCAGGGCCTCCTCCCGCTTGTCAGTACCCTACCCCGTGAGGGCAGCCCAGGACACAGTGCTGGAGGCAAACCAGGACAGGTGAGCACAGATGTGGCCCCCTGCCCAGAAGCAGGCTGTGGAGGCCTCAGAGGAACCAGGACTCAGAAGCCATCAGGATGTGGGTGATAAGAACACAGCTATCAGCAGCTCCAGCACCACAACCCGCTCGGCTCCTGCCCAGCATCATCTCAGAGACACCTTCCCTGGTACCCTCCCTCCACCCCAATTTAAAGTAGCAAGCCAGGCCAGGGGCAGTGGCTCACACCTGTAATCCCAGCACTCTGGGAGGCCAAAGTGGGAAGATCACTTGAGGCCAAGAGTTTGAGACCAGCCAGGGCAACATAGCGAGACCCCATCTCTACAAAAAATAAAATGGTAAATCCCCTTTCTGACTTTATTTTTCAATCTGATGTGGAAGACATTTACCTTTCCTTTATTTACTCCCCAAATGTCGGCCCCCCAAGGACACGGATTTCATCTGTCTTGTGCACGGCTACATCCTCAGCACTTAGAACAGCACCTGGCAAACAATAGGTGCTCATTCAATGTTTGTCCAATAAATGAACGAGTGATTTACTGAGCATTTACTCTGTGCCAGTCGTGGCAAGTACCATACTTCACACATGTATCTACTTAATCCTTACAACAGCCCTGTGATATGAGTACTATTGTTTTCCCCATTTTACAAATAAGGAAACTGAGGCCTGGCAGATTCCATAAATTGCCCAGGGTCCTGGAGGTAGGAAACAGTGGAACTATGTCCAGAGCCTATATTTTTTTTGATGGAGTTTCACTCTTTTGCCCAGAGTTCAAGCGATTCTCCTGCCTCAGCCTCCCAAGTAGCTGGGATTACAAGTGCTCACCACCACACCCAGCTAATTTTTATATTTTTAGTAGAGACAGGGTTTCACCATGTTGGCCAGGCTGGTCTCGAACTCACGCCCAGCCAGAGCCTATACTTTTAATAACAGTTACACCAATCAGATCCACATCCACCAGGTCCTGGCTTAAATCCCTGACTTGTAGCATCTCACTAACTGCTGGCAACAACCCTGAAGTAACGTCCGTATCATCTCTATTTTTTTGTTTGCTTTTGAAATGGAATCTTGCTCTGTCGACCAGCCTGGAGGGCAGTGGTACGATCTTGGCTCACGGCAACCTCTGCCTCCTGGATTCAAGTGATTCTCCTACCTTAGCCTCCCTAGTAGCTGGGATTACAGGCATGTGCCACCAAGACCAGTTAACTTTTATTTTTTTGTTTTTGTTTTTGTTTTTTGAGATGGAGTCTCACTCTGTTGCCTAGGCTGGAGTGCAGTGGCGAGATCTCAGCTCACTGCAACCTCTGCCTCCCAGGTTCAAGAGATTCTCCTGTCTCAGCCTCCCGAGTAGCTGGGACTACAGGCGCATACCACCACACCCAGCTAATTTTTTATATTTTTAGTAGAGACAAGGTTTCACCATATTGGCCAGGCTGATCTCGAACTTCCGACCTCGTGATCCTCCTGCCTCTGCCACCCAAAGTGCTGGGATTATAGGCATGGGCCACCACACCCTGCTAACTTTTGTATTTTTAATAGATACGGGGTTTCGCCATGTTGGTCAGGCTGGTTGCGAACTCCTCACCTCAGGTGATCTGCCCGTCTCGGCCTCGCAAAGTGCTGGGACTACAGGCACCTGCCACCACACCTGGCTATTTTTATTATTATTATTTTTAGTAGAGACAGGGTTTTGCCATGTTGGCCAGGCTGGTCTCGAACTCCTGACCTCAAATGATCCGCCCGCCTCAGCCTCCCAAAGTGCTGGGATGACAGGCATGAGCCACCACACCCGGCCATCATCTCTATTTTTCAGAATAATAAATGGAGTCTCAACAAGGGACTGTCCCCAGCCCCACTTTGGGTAAGTGCAGAGCCGGTGTCAAAACTCAGCTCTCTGTGGCCCCAAAGCCTCTGAATATGCCCATTTGACAGAGAGGGGAAAACAAGGCCTCCGAAGAGGGAGAAAGAGAATGTGAATTTCTGAGCACTTTGCAGGAAGCCAAGGACAGCCCCAAAGAAAACATGTAGCCATACAGCCTCCTGCCCTTCTATCTGGGTTTGCACATAGAACAGGGCTCAAATCCCCTCTCCCTGCGGGAACCTGGACAAGTGGGAGTCCCCACCTGGCACATCTCAGTCTGCAAAGGGGGAGTCCGAAAAGTGCCCACTTTACAGGGTTGCTTCGCCATCCACTGATATAACACCTATAGGTCCCCTGCACCAAGTGGGGCTGGGAAAGGTGCAGTGACTTTTTACTGATTTTATTCCTTGGTGACTCCCAAGCTCTCTGAGGAGGCCATGGGCCTGGGTGGTCGGTAAGAACTACCCGAAAATCTTCCCCTACTTTTCCTCTCTTCTCGGCGACCTGGTTCCTCTCCCAGGACCAAATCCGGGCCCTCGGCACAAAGAGGGTTAGGCGGCTGCCCCAGGAGGCCTGCCCAGGTCACGGCCTCTGGCCGGTGCCCGCCACACCCACCCTGGTACCCAAACTGGGCCCCAGATCCTTGGTGACTCGATCCCTCCAAATTCAGGTGATCTCCCCTGGCTCCAAATCACCAAACCCTCCCAGGTCCTGCGGCAGACGGAGCCGAGCCCCAACCAGGAAGGGAGTCTGAGCACTGGGACTTCAACGCCACCATCTCCAAGACTCGGTTTGGGGTGAAAGATGGCGCTGACTGGGTACAGCTGGCTGCTCCTCAGTGGTGAGCGGGAATGGCACCCCCCAGCACCTCAGTCCCTTGAGGACCCCAGGGAGGGGAGGGGACCCCCCGTCTGAAAGAGGGAAGGTGTGAGCAGAAGTCCAGCGTGATAGGGAGGGAGGGCAGCCCTGCTTCACACCAGCACAGTTCACCCCTCCAAGAGGCACCTGCACTGGGCAGGCTGGGGACAGCCACCCAGAGAGGTTTTCAGGATGGGCTTTGGAGATTTCTAAGCCCAGGGCACGAGCCAGGACAAGGGAGCCGCTGTTGCTCCTTCATTCCTGCGGGTTTCTGTTTTATCAGCTATGGAAGCCTTGACGAGGCTAAACTCTTCCCAGAAGCTGTTTCTCCTGGAAGATGCAGCTTGGGGCAGTGGCCTTTCCCTTCTCAGCCTCTGTGTGCCTGTGAAATAGGCCTCACTGACAGAGTCATGTAAAGACCATTATAAGCAGCACAATATCTGCTGTGTGCCCGGAGCTGTTCTGAGAGCTTCTCATGTGTTTAAAAGCACCTATGAGGGGCCGGGCATGGTGGCTCACGCCAGTAATCTCAGCACTTTGGGAGGCCGAGGCGGGTGGATCACCTGAGGTCAGGAGTTCAAGACCAGCCTGGGTAACATAGTAAAACTCCATCTCTCCTAAAATACAAAAAATTAGCCAGGTGTGGTGGCACATGCCTGTAGTCCCAGCTGCTCGGGAAGCTGAGGCAGGAGAATCACTTGAACCCGGGAGGTGGAGATTGCAGTCAGCCAAGATTGCACCACCGCACTCCAGCCTGGGCAACAGAACAAGACTCCATTTCTAAAAAATACCCCAAACCATCTATGAGGGAGGCCCACACATGAACCCCCACTTCATAGGGAGAAAACGAGGCTCAGAAAGGTGAAATCATTGGCTGCTGTCACACAGCCAAAAAGTGGCAGGACTGAGGGCTAGCCTCTCACTCCTAGCCACACTCTAACAGCCTGGAAAGTACCAGAAAGCTGGCCAGGCATGTAAGTCCTTTTTACGTGAGCACTGTCACAGCCGCCTGTTCCAGGCAACCACACATCATTCAAACCCAAGCAGCCCCAACCATCTCATCAGGCTTGAGGCTGATCTGCTTGGTTGAGAAGGAAAGGGATGGAGTGTGTTCATCTTACCCCTGCTTTCCACTGTAGGCGAGCTTGGAGAGGCAGAGGAAGAGCCCCCGACTGGGAGTCAGGACCCAGGGGGCAGGCCCTGACGTCCTACGTGGGGCCATACAATTAGCTGGGCTGGATACGCAGCCGAATCTCGTGAGACTTGGTTTGGTGACTGTCACGATGGGAAAACCCTTTGGGTCCTGCTTAAAGCCACAGGTCCTGTGGGCTGAGCACTTGCTTTGCACTTGCTGTATGCAAGATGTGATGCTAGATCCTCGGCACAGTCCGTCAAACCCAATCCTCACAACACATCCCTCCCTCCCTGGGACTGAGTCCCTCCCTGGGACTGAACTCCTGCATCTGACTAACATGTATTGGGCATTTACTGTATACCAGGCATTCTAAATGTGTTATGTGTACAGGATCCTTACAACCTTAAAGGCAGGTAGACCTGTCATCCCCACGTGACAGTTGGAAGAACAGAAACACAGAGAGAGTGTACTCAAAGCCACTCTATAGATAAACTCCCAGAAAGATTAGGTGGCTGAGATGTTGAGAGTCAGAGAGTCGCAGGTTCAAATCCTGGTTTTGCCTGTCCTCATTTATACAGAAGGACATTGGGCTGGGGACGTGCCCCGAGCCTGAGTCTCTTCTTCTGTCAAATGGGGCAATTGATCAAACCTGCCTCATCCAACCCCTCTGACTCCTCTTCCTCAGCCACATTCCTGAATGTGGGGGCTGAGATCTCTATCACCCTGGAGCCTGCCCAGCCGACCGAAGGGGACAACATCACGCTGGTCGTCCACGGGCTTTCGGGGGAACTGCTCGCCTACAACTGGTACGCGGGGCCCACGCTCAGCGTATCGTACCTGGTGGCCAGCTACATTGTGAGCACAGGCGATGAGACTCCTGGCCCGGCCCACACGGGGCGGGAGGCTGTGCGCCCCGATGGCAGCCTGGACATCCAGGGCGTCCTGCCCCGGCACTCAGGCACCTACATCCTGCAGACGTACAACAGGCAGTTTCAGACTGAGGTGGGCTACGGACACATGCAGGTCTATGGTGAGACACCCCCCAACACCCGCCTCTGCCCCAGCCGGGCCTTCCAACCTCCTTCTCAATCCTTCTTAAAAAAAAAAAAAAAATCCAACAATGTTTAAACCATCAGGGAAAAAGTTTCTAAAATAACCTCAAAATGCTCATCTCCTTCAGGATGGCCTCCAGGATTAGACCTGCCTCCTAAACCCATTCTTTGTCCCTCCGGCTGAGGGTGTAGGGGCACAGCCACAATCTGGCCATGCCCCTTGTCTGGGGAAGGGAAGGCCCTCGGAGCAGGCGGTGCCTGGCCCCCTCCCCCTCTGTCTCTTGCCTCCACAGAGATCCTGGCCCAGCCCACAGTCTTGACCAACAGCACGGCACTGGTGGAGCGTCGAGACACCCTACGCCTTATGTGCGGCAGCCCCAGCACCACAGCTGAGGTCCGCTGGTTCTTCAACGGTGGGGCCCTGCCCGTCGCTCTCCGCCTGGGCCTGTCCCCTGACGGCCGGGTGCTGGCCAGGCATGGCATCCGCCGGGAGGAGGCCGGTGCCTATCAATGTGAGGTGTGGAACCCGGTCAGTGTCAGCCGCAGTGAGCCCATCAACCTGACCGTGTACTGTGAGTCCTCCTGGCCCTACCAGAGATACCCAGTGTCCAAACCTCATGGATGGGGAAACCGAGGCCAGGAGAGGGGGCCCAAGGGCACACAGCGAGTCAGCAGGCAAGCTGGGGTTGGGGAACAGGGGCCCCTCTTAAAGTGCACTTGCCCTGGCCAGGCACAGTGGCTCATGCCTGTAATCCCAGCACTCTGGGAGGCCTACGTAGGAGGATCACTTGAACCCAGAAGTTTGAGACCACCCTGGTCAATATAGCAAGACCCCGTCTCTACCAAAAACATAAAAATTAGCCAGGCATGGTGGCACATGCCTGTAGTCCTAGCCACTCAGGAGGCTTGAGCCCCAGAGGCCAAAGTTGCAGGTGCAGTGAGCTATGATTACACCACTGCACTCCAGCCTGGGCGACAGAGCAAGATGCTGTCTCAAAAAAAAAAAAAAAAGAAAGAAAGAAAGAAAAAAACATACACTTGCCCCATATCCTAAAGGACTTCTACAGACCACCTTTACTATTGAATAATCCTTCAGTTAGGAGCAATATCTGCAGAGAAAGCAAACAGCGCCAGTTGCTTTGAAAAGGGAGCGGGGGAGGAAATAGTGTAATGGGAGGGGACACAAAATTTAACAACATAACCAAAGCACACAGTCATTCCCAGGGGCAGCAGATGTGCAGTGTGGAATCCTGGGAAAATAAATCACCCAGGTACATGAGGACCCGTGATGTAGAAAAACTTAGTGCCTAGAATCCTAGAATCCTACAACCAGAGAATTCTGGACTTCAGAAGCACTGAATTCTAGACTCTGAGAATCTTAGAACCTCTAGATGCAGAGTTTCTTAGAATCTTAGAATCTAATCCTGAAATCTTAGAGTCTAGAATCTTGGAAACAGATTTCTAGAACCTTAGAACCTTACAACCTAGAAGCACCAATTCTTAAAGCCCTAGAATTCTACACTCTTAGAATGGCTTTGTCAGAAAAAAAACAAAAAATCATTTAGGCTTTTTTTATTTGTCAATGGAGCCATAGATTTCAAAAATACCTTGAAATGTTATCTGGCCCAGCACATTCTTTTTACAGAACAGAAAGCTGAGATCCTCTGAGAGAGAGTGATTCTCAAGATCCCAGAACAAGTTAGAGTGAAGGCCAGAGCTTTTTCTTCCCCTCCACGAGGCCAAGATATTCCCAGGGACCTAGCCTGGTGGAGAGAAAACCAGGGGTTCCCACCTCCACTCCTCCTTCCCTATACTGCCCCATCTCTCCCTCCTGCCCTCACAGTTGGCCCAGAACGTGTGGCCATCCTCCAGGATTCCACCACCCGCACAGGCTGCACCATCAAAGTTGACTTCAACACGTCCCTCACCCTGTGGTGCGTGTCCAGGTCCTGCCCAGAGCCCGAGTATGTGTGGGCCTTCAATGGGCAGGCCCTAAAGAACGGTCAAGACCACGTCAACATCAGCAGCATGACAGCTGCCCAGGAGGGGACGTACACATGTATTGCGAAGAACACCAAGACCCTGCTATCTGGATCTGCCTCGGTCGTGGTCAAGCTCTCTGGTGAGTCACCCCCAGCCTGACCACCCCCCAATCCCCATGGAGGCCTCATCAGGCTGTGAGGGTTAAGCCACCATTTGCCCAAAAGAGAATCGGAACATGGTAGATTCACAGTTCATTGATGAGCTGTGACAAAGTGGCATATCAAGTGGATCCCTTTGCATCTGGGTCTAAAGGGAGACAGCCCATGTCCTGTTCACCTGGAGAACAAATGGCAAACCATTGTGGGTTGACAGAGTGGAAAATCACTCAGATGTCACTTCAGGTGGGTGCCACTGTTCTAAATTCAGTCACCAGCTGCTTACGGGCTTGACCTACCCCCCCACCACACAGACAGCTGAAATTCTGTGCAGCCAACTAGACTACCCAGTTATCTGACCCAGATGACAGGCATACACACACACACACACACACACACACACACACACACACACACAGAATCACAGCCAATTGCCGGCAAATGGAGAAACAGCTGGGGAGGCATTGTCATCTTGCTTCTGTCCTAAAATGACCTGAGGGCTGGGGCAGTGCAGGTGGTTGTCATTTCAGAGCCATTGCGATCCTCAGGCAACATTTTCTCATCTTCCGGGGATGGCGGCTTTGAATATTAAGGCCTCATTAATTCCACCTCGGTTCCTTCCCAAGTGGCCATCATCCCCGGGGGACAGTGGGAAATGGTCCTTCCCTCCCTCCCACTAACAGGCTGGGTCTCATCCAAGGGGTGGATTTTCACCCAAAGCTGAAATGGCATCCCCAGAGGTAAGTGTGCCTCCCGCTCCACTCACCTGGGGCTTTGGCAGCTGGTCTTGACGGGAGACAGGGGGATGGACCAGATGACCTCAGGTACTACCCCAAGCCCTGCCTGTGCAGGCCAAGATGGGGGGTGTCCAAGGTATGCAGGTATGTTTAGGGAGTGGATGGATACACTGCTCCCAAGGGCTTCTAGTACTGTCAGCAACTCTGTGGCAGGTGCTGGGAGAGAGACAGAAGAAAAGGAGACTAATCCGATGGAGGAGACATGGCCTCTGTCCTTGGAGAGACGGTCCTGGGACAGGGAAACATGGCTCCCTTATTCAAGGAATTGCTGCTCAAAGAGAACAGGCAATGCCTCATCCTCCATGAGCTTCCAACCAGTAATGAGGGAGATATGACAACTCACCCTCAGTGGGCTCCTAGTCAGATGGAGGAGACACAGTCTGCACTTGGGGAGAATTTTCCTTCTGATGGGGAGACGTGGTCTCCAGGAGACATGGCCCTGTTTTTTTAGCGTTCCTAGTCTGATGGGGTATCCACCTTTGGGGTACTCCTAATCTGATGGAGGAGTACAGGTCCCCACTTTCTAGGAATTTCCAGTCTGATAGAATAGACATTTCCCTCTAATTTCTAAGGTCCCCAACTTGATTGGAAAAACCCAGCAACAATTTAGAATTTCTCAATCTGATGGAGGAAACAGAGCTGCCACCTTGTAGGAATTTTCAATCTGATGGAGGAGACATGGCCTCCCACCCTCTAGAATCTTTCAATCTGATGGAGGAGCTATGGTTTACACATTCTGGGGTCTCTCGGTCTGACAGACGCAAGTCCCAACCATCTTATGGGGAAGACATGGTCCCCATTTTCTGGGATTTCCACTTTGATAGGGGAGACATGGCCCCTATATTTCGGGAATTTCCATTCTGATGGAGGAGACATGACCTAACCTTCCAGGGTCTTCCAGTTTGATGGGAGAGACACCTCTCAAAGGCTGGGAATTTGTAGTCTGATAGGGGAGACACAGTCCCCTAGCAGACACTATTGGGACCCAGAATCCACCTCCACCACGACACAAGTCACCTCCTTCCTCAGTCTCCTTCCCAGCACCCTACAAGGGGAGTGCCAGCCAGCTGGGGGGAGGCCAGCAGGGGATGGGAGGGGGACACGATGCCAGATGCAGGCCAAGCTGACCCAGCCCCTTCGCTCTCTCCCCAGCTGCAGCAGTTGCCATGATGATCGTGCCCGTGCCCACCAAGCCAATGGAGGGCCAGGACGTGACGCTGACCGTGCAGGGCTACCCCAAGGACCTGCTGGTCTACGCCTGGTACCGCGGGCCTGCCTCCGAGCCCAACCGGCTGCTCAGCCAGCTGCCGTCAGGAACCTGGATTGCAGGCCCCGCACACACAGGCCGGGAGGTGGGCTTCCCCAACTGCTCACTGTTGGTGCAAAAGCTGAACCTCACAGACACTGGCCGCTACACACTCAAGACCGTCACACTGCAGGGCAAGACCGAGACACTGGAAGTGGAGCTGCAGGTGGCCCGTGAGTGTGTGGGAAAGGGCAAGGCATGCCCCTTTTTAGACAAGGGCTCCCAAAAGGAGCCTTTGCTTCCTCCATCAGGCTGGGGGACATAGACCAAAGATGGATATCCCTCCCCCATCAGACTGAAGGAAGAGACCTTGTCTCCTCCGTCTAACTTGGGAGTCCCCAAATAGGGCTCTGCCTCTTCTATCAAACTAATGACCTACACTGTGGGTAGACTGGCCTCCTCCATCAGACTGAGGGTTGATAAAGGGGACCCCCATGGCTTCTCTCTCAAATAAGAGGTACAGCAGACTGAAGGTTTTAAAAGAGTCTGACGGTGGAGCATCCTTTTTCCCGCAGACAGGTGGACCCCAAAACATAGGGTCCATATTGGGGAAATGGGTTAATGATGGGAGTTTACCTCTCCTATCAGACTGCAGGCATAGAGTAAGGATGAATCAGACTGGGAGATCCTATGCAATGGGGATCATGTCTCCTCCTTTCTATTATCGTGAAGGCAAAGTTTCTATCATCAGATGGTGGAGTTTCTCTTTCAAACTGAAATAAGGATGATCGACTCCATTAGGATGGAGGCTTCTATGTGTGGAAGTTGCGTCTCCTCCATCAGAACGGAAGTTCCCAGATGTTGGGCACCATGTCTCCCCATTGAACTGGGAGCTCTTAGAAGTCAGGAGCAATATCTCCTCCATCAGACTGGGAGCTCTTAGAAGTCAGGAACAATGTCTCCTCCACTGGATTGGGAATTCCCAAATGTTGAAGACCATGTCACCTCCCTCAGACTGGGAGCTCTCAGATGTTGGGAACCGTGTCTCCCCATCAACTGGGAGCTTCTAAAGTCAGAAACTATGTCTCCTCCATCAGACTAGGAGCTCCCAGAGTCAAGATCCATGTCTCCTCCATCAGACCGGGAGCTCCCAGAGTCAGGATCTATGTCTCCTCCATCAGACTGTGAGCTCCCAGAGTGACGGCCCATGTCTCCTCCATCAGACCGGGAGCTCCCAGAGGCAGGGACCATGTCTCCTCCATCAGACTGGGAGCTCCCAGAGTGACGGTCCATGTCTCCTCCATCAGACCGGGAGCTCCCAGAGGCAGGGACCATGTCTCCTCCATCAGACTGGGAGCTCCCAGAGGCAGGGACCATGTCTCCTCCATCAGACTGGGAGCTGCCAGAGGCAGGGACCATGTCTCCTCCATCAGACTGGGAGCTCCCAGAGGCAGGGACCATGTCTCCTCCATCAGACTGGGAGCTCTCCAGAGGCAGGGACCATGTCTCCTCCATCAGACTGGGAGCTCCCAGAGGCAGGGACCATGTCTCCTCCATCAGACTGGGAGCTCTCAGAGTCAGGGACCATGTCTTCTTCATCAGACTGGGAGCTTTCAGAGTCAGGGACCATATCTCCTCCATCAGACTGGGAGCTCCCAGAGGCACAGTCCATGTCTCCTCCATCAGACTGGGAGATCCCAGAGGCAAGAACTATGTCTCCTCCATCAGACTGGGAGCTCCCAGAGCCAGGGACCATGTCTCCTCCATCAGACTGGGAGCTCCCAGAGTCAGGATCTATGTCTCCTCCATCAGACTGGGAGCTCCCGGAGTGATGGTCCATGTCTCCTCCATCAGACCGGGAGCTCCCAGAGGCAGGGACCATGCCTCCTTCATCAGACTGGGAGCTCCTGGAGTCAGGGACTATGTTTCCCTCATCAGACTGGGAGCTCCCAGAGGCAGGCACCATGTCTCCTCCATCAGACTGGGAGCTCCCAGAGCCAGAGACCATGTCTCCTCCATCAGACCGGGAGCTCCCAGAGTCAGGGACCATGTCTCCTCCATCAGACTGGGAGCGCCCAGAGTCAGGGACCATGTCTCCTCCATGAGACTGGGAGCTCCCAGAGTCAGGGACCATGTCTTCTTCATCAGACTGGGAGCTCCCAGAGGCACAGTCCATGTCTCCTCCATCAGACTGGGAGCTCCCAGAGGCAAGAACTATGTCTCCTCCATCAGACTGGGAGCTCCCAGAAGCAGGGACCATGTCTCCTCCATCAGACTGGGAGCTCCCAGAGCCAGGGACCATGTCTCCTCCATCAGACTGGGAGCTCCCAGAGCCAGGGACCATGAGACTGGGAGCTCTCAGAGTCAGGGACCATGTCTTCTTCATCAGACTGGGAGCTCCCAGAGCCAGGGACCATGTCTCCTCCATCAGACTGGGAGCTCCCAGAGCCAGGGACCATGTCTCCTCCATCAGACTGGGAGCTCCCAGAGTCAGGGTCCATGTCTCCTCCATCTGACTGAGCGTCCCCAGAGGTCTATGAGTCCATGTCGCTACAGTAGGGCCAGGTTTCCCCCATTAGCTCTCAGACACTGGGGATGAGATCATTCCCCAAGTCTGGAATCTTGCCTCCCCCAGCAGCCAGAGCACTCTCAGAAGTCATATCCCTGAGTTCAGGATGGTGCCTCCCCTATCACTGGAAATTTCCAGGATCAAGGACTCAACCACTGCCAGTCACCCACTTTCATCCATTCACTGATCAAACCCTGGTTTTCTGGGTCAGTGTTAGGGGAGAATGCTGTTCAGTGGCAGCAGGCCACCCCAACAAAGCCTCGGGATTCCTTTTCACCCATTCTCTCTTCTCACAGTCAACCTCCCTCCCTCGCACAAGGACCAACGCTACCTTCCTGAACCTGAACCTGGCACAGGCTGAGCGTGGGGTGGATTGGGTCACTGGGTGGCCCAGGGTGGGCAGGGGAGCAGAAGGGGTGGGGGCACTGGGGACCTGGTCCTCCATCTCTCTGACAGCCTCCTTCGTCCCCTCGCCCCATCTGCCCCCACAGCCCTGGGGTAGCAGCGTGACCCTGGAGACGTCCAGAGAGAAGAGCTCTTCGCACCACCCTCTGGTCCTCGCCCTCTGAGTGGGAACCGCTCCCCCCACAGCAAGGATGCCAGGCTGTGGTCCTGCTGTTCTCCTGCCTCCACCCTAGAGCTAGAGCCACAGGGCCCCACTCCCTCGCTGAGCTGTTGGGGAGCCACCGAAGCCATAAAAGTCCTGGTTAATGCACATGTGTGTCAGCCTCTCCTTCCACCACCGCTAGCCCCGCCATTTCCTGGCGGCCACACTCATTTCCTTTCCCGCCCAAGGCTTTTCTCAGTCTGGGTGTGCACATGCAGGAGGATGGGCCCAGATCACCGTGCTCCACATCCCACTGCTGGATGCCAGGGCCTTGTGCCCCTCCCGCAGTGCCCCAGGTTATATGTGAGAGTCCTGCTCCCCAGCTGGCCAAGGACTGCCCCTCTTGAGGCACCAGCATTCTGTGGGACATGGCTCTCCCCTACACTGCACCTCACTTTGTCACCTGGGCCCCAAAACAGGGCTGCTTGTGCTTAGGAAATGACCATATTTCGCAAGAAGACTTCCATCACCTTCTGGTAGTCCTCACCCATTTAATCAAAGACACAACTTTGTCCTGGGATTCCCTGCACGTCTCTCAAACATTACCTGCACAACCCTGAAAATATCTCCATCCTTCTCTAGCCACAGAAAAGACCCTGTGGGTGGATGAATGCAAGCGGGGAAGAGGTAGAGGCCAGGAGTGGAGAGCTGGGAAGTGGGGGCCGGAATGAGTGTGTTTTCTAACTCTTCTCATTAATGGGAGCCACAGGCCCCACCCAGCCGCAACGCCCCACTGGAAAGAGGCTCTTGGCATTGGTCAGAGTGGTGATGGCCGAGTCCAGGCTTAGAATAGAAAGACAGGTTTGGGCAGGGACGAGAAAGGCCCTTTTGGGGATGATTGTGTTGAGTTGGGGTGATGGGTGGTGAAAGACCTCCAGAATGTGGGTTACAAAATCTGGATCATAATCCTGCATTTGCCACGGATTCACTGGAGCCTCAGTTTGCCCATCAGTAAAAAGGTGTGGACTTGAGATAGACCAGACTTTTCCAAACCATTTTTAAAAGACTCAGAGCCCTTTCTTCAAATGCAAGTTTACACAGCAGGTCAATTTATTATTAATATTTAAAATAGCAATGCAACAAATATAGCCGCAGCACAGTGGCCCATGCCTGTAATCCTAACACTTTAGGAGACTAAGGTGAGAGAATCGCTTGAGCCCGAAAGTTGAGACCAGCCTGGGCAATATGGCAAAATCCCGTCTCTATTTTTAAAAATAAATAAATAAATGAAACCACCTATAGATACCAATTCAATAGCTACACTCGTCTCCTCCAAAGTTTCTACAGAGTTGAAAAAGAATTCCTTAAATTTAAATAACATTGGGATTAGCCAGACATGGTGCTGCATGCCTATAGATCACTGGAGCACAGGAATTCGAGGCTGCAGTGAGCCATGACCGCACCACTGCACTCCAGCCTGAGCAACAGAGTGAGACTACATCTCATAAAAAATGTTACATTTTCGAATAAAAGGTAACACTTGGGGCCAGGCACGGTGGCTCAACCCTGTAATCCCAGCACTTTGGGAGGCCGAGGCGGGTAGATCACGAGGTCAGGAGTACAAGACCAGCCTGACCAACATGGTGAAACCCCGTTTCTACTAAAAAGACAAAAATAATCCAGGCATGGTGGTGTGCGCCTGTAATCCCAGCTACTCAGGAGGCTGAGGCAGAATTGCTTGAATCTGGGAGGCGGAGGTTGTAGTGAGCTGAGATCACACCACTGCACTCCAGCCTGGGCAACAGAACAAAACTCTATCTCAAAAAAAAAAAAAAAAAAAAGTGACACTTGGACTACAGAAGCAACTAAAATACAAAATATCAACCAGAATCAAATGACAGTAAAAGCATCATATACATCAAACCTGTGGGATATGGCCACAGCCATCCTTGAAGAGAAAAATGATAGCTTATCAGCACTGAGAGTACTAAAGGTAAAAGACTTGAAAATGAACAAAACAAGCTTTCTACTCAAGACACTAGAAAAAGTCCACAAAATGAGCCAAAGAAAAAAGCTAAGGAATGAAGAAAGGTAAAAGCAGAAATAGATGAAATATAAAACAAAACATGACCAATAAAACCTAAAGCTGATTCTTTGAAAATGTAAATGAAATAGACAGACTTTTTGCAGGTGTGATCAAGAAAAAAAAAAAAGAGAAGTATAAATAAGGAACACAAATAATAAAGAGCTAAGGAGATTAATATGTAAGATAAAAGGCCCTGGGGTGGGTGCTGTGCTCACACCTGTAATCCCAGCACTTTGGGAGGCTGAGCCAGGAGGATCACTTGAGCCCAGGAGTTCCAGACCAGCCTGAGCAATGTAGCAAGACCTCATGTCTACAAAAATTTTTCAAAAATTATCCAGGAATAGTGGTGCATGCCTGTAGTCCCAGATACATGGGAGGCTAAGACAGGAGGATTGCTTGAACTTAGGAGGCCAAGGCTGCAGTGAGCTATACTCACCCTACTGCACTCCATCCTGGGCAACAGAGCAAGACTTTGTCTCTAAAACAAGAGAGAGAGAGAGAGAGAGAGAGAGAAAAGAGAAACTGATCTGGTTGAAGCAAAGGTTGCTCAATAAATATACACTGACTGAAGAGGGATCTGTTGGTTGCTCCCCATACCACTGCCCACCCTACTTCCATGACACAGACACTGCCTCCCTCTCTAGAAGCTGAAAACGTCAGGTACTCACTTTCCCAAACTGCCTTGCAGCTACAAGCAGCCATGTGACCAATTCAAGCCAATGAGGAGGCAGAGAGTCTAAAGTTCCACCCACTGACTCCACCTCACCTGAGGGGACCCTGAGGGAGCTCTATGGAGTTTTAAAGCTATTATCTAAATTAGTGGTCTCCATTGTGGGGCTTCTAGCTGGGACATGAGGATGGACTTGAGCCCATGCTGCTAACCCCAACACTATCCAGCCCAGAAAGAAGAAGTAGCATCCATATTCCCACCCTCACCCCACCCCTATCCACCCAAGTTCACATAAAAACTTGACAGAGATGGGGTTAGAGTCTAGATATAACAGAAATTCTTGGCCAGGCACGGTGGCTCACGCCTGTAATCCCAGCACTTTGGGAGACCGAGGCATGCGGATCACGAAGTCAGGAGATCGAGACCATCCTGGCTAACACGATGAAACCCCGTCTCTACTAAAAATACAAAAAATTAGCCAGGCGTGGTGGCAGTCACCTATAGTCCCAGCTACTCGGGAGGCTGAGGCAGGAGAATGGCGTGAACCCAGGAGGCAGAACTTGCAGTGAGCCAAGATCACACCACTGCACTCCAGCCTGGGCGACACAGAAAGACTCCGTCTCAAAAAAAAAAAAAAAAATTATCTTCAGTGGCTAGGCTGGGCGCTGTGGCTCATACCTATAATCCCAGCACTTTGGGAGGTTGAAGTGGGCTGATCATCTGAGGTCAGGAGTTCGAGACCAGCCTGGCCAGTATGGTGAAGCCCCATCTCTACTAAAAATACAAAGAAATTAGCCAGGCGTGGTGTGATCAAGAAAAACAAAAACAAATAAACAAAAAAAAGAAGTATAAATAAGGAACACAAATAATAAAGAGCCAAGGAGATTAATATATAAGATAAAAGGGTGGCCTGTAATCCCAGCTACTTGGGAGGCTGAGGCAGGAGAATTGCTTGAACCCAGGGGGCAGTGAGCCGAGATCACACCATTGCACTCCAGCCTGGTAACAAGAGTGAAACTCCATCTCAAAAAGAAAAGAAAAAAGAAAAGAAAAGAAAGGAAAAGAAATTATCTTCAGTGGCTAGTAAGAGATATTGGAACTAACATAAACAAATAGATGAAATAGATATACAGGGATTCATTTATATGGCTAGAAGATTATTTTTCTCACACGTAAAAAATCTCCAGCAGCAGATTGTTCAGAGCTGGAATGGAGGCCCTGTAGTGTCCTCAGGGACACAGCTCTATTTTTCTGTTCCATTTTCCTTACCTTGGGGCTTCCCTCCTCTCCATTACCTCATGGCCCAAGATGGCTGCTGAAGTCACAGCTGCCTCATCCATATTCCAGGCAAGAAGCAGAAAGAAGGGGACAAAGGGAAACAACAACAAAAAAATTCCTCCTAGCCAGTTTATGAACTGTGCTCCTTTTAAGGGAACTTTACCTAAGGCCCATCCAACAACCCCTGCTTAGATCTGTTTGGCCAGCTCATAGTACCATGGCCACCCTAGCTGCAAGGGAGGCAAGGAATTTCAGTCATTGCCTTGGGTATGTTGCTGCCCCAATTAACATCAAGGTTCTTGTATTAAGAAAGACTGAAAGAATGTCCCAGGTGGGCAGCTGGCAGGCTTGGCCACTCCAAGCCTTGGAACTTCTACCTCCCCAGCTAGGCAAAATGGCCTTCCTCACCTGAGCCCAAGGAGTAAGAGTCACAGCCTCAGTAGCAGGGGTTTGGGAAAGATGGGAGCTGCTGCTCTGAGCTGTAATTGTGTGCAGTTGATGCAGAATGAGGCCAGCAGGAGGGGTAGAGGGAGGGAAAGAGAAGCAGCTCAGGTTTCTAGGTCAAGTCAGATCCCATAGCCTCAGGGTGTGGTGGAGGCTCAGATGTCCCCAAGACCAGGTCCTCCGTCCCTCTGGGCATCTCTGTGCTCTTTTACTGAATTATCCCAAGTAGTACAATCCCCTTCATTAAGAGTCTAGGAAAGAATAATAACAATAACCACAAAATAATAATCACTCCTATATCTCGAGCATCAGTGTATTAGTCCATTCTCACATTGCTATAAAGACATACCTGAGACTGGGTAATTTATAAAGAAAATAGGTTTAATCAACTCATGATTCTGTGGGTTATACAGGCTTCTGCTTCTGGGGAGACCTCAGGAAACTTACAATCATGGCAGAAGGTGAAAGGGAAGCAAGCACATCTTCACATGGCCAGCAGGAGAAGAAGGTGGGGTGCTACACACTTTTAAACAAGCAGCATGAGGGGAATGGTGCTAAAACATTAGAAACTATCCCCATGGTCCAATCACTTCCCATGAGGTCCCTCCTCCTACACTGAGGATCATAACTGGACCTGAGATTTGGGTGGGAACGAACAGCTAAACCATATCAACTGGTTTGTCCTTTCTCATGCAAGATCTCAATTCCTACAGCAGCTCTTAAGAGAAGTTACTATC